CCTCATAGCAAACTATGAGGTTGTTAATGTGGTTATTTATCTTCATTTACAGATGCATGCCTAAGATTATAGAGCTAGTAAGTAGTGGACCCACCGTAGAACAGAAGCCAGAGTCTGCCTCCAGTGGCTGACTTTCAGCCACCATGGTCTATTGCTGTGTAAACAACATGCAAATTCATAAATGCATTTACAGCTTATCTATTCAAATCAGAACCCACAGCAATCACTCATTTTGAATAAATTTTACTGTAGCAACTCTGCCTGCTGACATCAGTAGAACCCATGTTTGCTCTCCTCGGGCATCACTAAACAGCAACAGAAAAGGGATGCGTATACATTTCATATAGAAGCTGCTATTTGTAATTGTTTGCAGCAATTAACAAAGCTGCCACTTGAGGTGGAGGAAAGATATATTCACTTCAAGCTCTGTTTTGTGTGTGTGTGTGTGTGTGTGTGTGTGTGTGTGTGTGTAGGGGAGGTAGGTGGGACGGTACACATACCCACAGGCATGTATGTATTTGGTTTCTACTGTTGACACCTTATATTTCTTGCTCATGGTATTTTACACTCTAGAATTCATTTATTTGATAAACTGTGATAACTTGCTGTTTATCTTTCCCTCCTTTGCTTTCCCACTGTATTCTCCAACACCTAACATCTTACGGTCAGTGTTTCCTCTGTGTTAACAAATATTTGTTGGCTTATGATTATTCTTGAATCTAATAAGCTAATTGAGTAATGGCAGCAATTAGCCACTAAACTACACTGACTACCAACAGACACTGTTATGCTGCTCCTAGACTTCTCAGTCCTGTATGTGGAGCTGGGGGCAGGAAGAATTGCTTTTGAAAGCTGATGGAGTTGGACATGTGGCCTTCTTGAATCTGGTTAGCTCATAAATTCTTACTATTACTTTCATTTGTACTCATAATATTCATACAACTGTCTACCCTATCTATGTGCTACCAGTAAGGAGCCTGCATATTTTTATTAGAAACAAAAAAAAATTATACAAGCTCCTTTCCTTTAGCTAGTGCTGAATCTGAAGAAACAACACAATATCCAGAATTTAGTATTAAGATGTGTGTGTGTGTCAGCAAAAGAAATAAGTCATTAGAGCGAATCAGCAACCAACAGAATGGGAAAAAATTTTTGCAGTCTACCCATCTGACAAAGGGCTGATATCCAGAATTTACAAAGAACTAAAACAGATTTACAAGAAAAAAACAAACAAGCCCATTCAAAAGTGGGCGAAGGATATGAACAGATACTTTACAAAAGAAGACATACAGGAGGCTAACAAACATATGAAAAAATGCTCATCATCACTGGTCATCAGAGAAATGCAAATCAAAACGACATTGAGATACCATCTCACGCCAGATATAATGGCGATCATTAAAAAATCTGGAGACAACAGATGCTGGAGAGGATGTGGAGAAATAGGAACACTTTTACACTGTTGGTGGGAGTGTAAATTAGTTCAACCATTGTGGAAGACAGTGTGGCGATTCCTCAAGGACCTAGAAATAGAAATTCCATTTGACCCAGCAATCCCATTACTGGGTATATATCCAAAGGATTATAAATCGTTCTACTGTAAGGACACATGCACATGAATGTTCATTGCAGCACTGTTTACAATAGTAAAGACCTGGAACCAACCCAAATGCCCATCGATGATAGACTGGACAGGGAAAATGTGGCACATATACACCATGGAATATTATGCAGCCATCAAAAACGATGAGTTCGTGTCCTTTGTAGGGACATGGATGAACCTGGAAACCATCATTCTCAGCAAACTGACACAAGAGCAGAAAATCAAACACCACATGTTCTCACTCATAGGCAGGTGTTGAACAATGAGAACACATGGACACAGGGAGGGGAGCACTACACACTGGGGTCTCTTAGGGGGAAATAGGGGAGGGACAGTAGAGGGTGGGGAGTTGGGGCGAGAGAGCATGGGGAGAAATGCCAGATCTAGGTGAAGGGGAGGAAGGCAGCAAATCACACTGCCACATGTGTACCTATGCAACAATCTTACATGTTCTTCACATGTACCCCAAAACCTAAGATGCAATTTAAAAAAAAAAAAGCTAAAAAAAAAAAAAAGATATGTGTGTGTGTGTGTGTGTGTGTGTGTGTGTGTGTGTGTGTATAACCTTTTTGGAAGGGTGAGAGGAGTACAGATAGTTCTCTCTTAAGGACTGGTTTTAAAGTACATAAATATTCTTTCTTGGCTCTTGATAACAGAAAAAAAGGGGAAAAGTATATAAAGATTCCTCTTCTTTCCTGGCTGCTTAGAAAACCAGCTGTCATCACAACTGACTAACTTTGAGAACAGGACATTCATGACAAATGAGTGCTTTGGTGGAAAGAGTAGATCCAAAATTTCCTTTACTCTGGAAAAGTATTACTGTTATTATTCATGTCTGAAATACAGCCAAATTGTACAAGACTATACTGGATATTAATTTGGGCTTCAGATTCAGAACTCCTTTTGGTAAGACAGCAGGCTTTTGTATGGTTTATATTCCTTGAATTAAGAGAAAAATAATAAAATTTTTTATTATTCATACAGCATAGCAAAGTCTGAGCTCATGGCAAAGCATGAGTTAAATGAGAAAACAAAATTTTTTTGAAAACACAGAAAACAGAATGGAATGAAAAATAAAATGAAGAAAATTAAAGGTAGAGAAAAGGTAAATAGAAGTAGTGGGGAGCTTCAATGCAGGATTTCAGGAATGGAAAGCAAACAAACAACAAGAATTATGGCGGAAAGGAATAAAAAGTGCAAAAATGATCTGATCCATGGAGACAGTGCAGATATTTCACCAAAAAATAAATCAAACTTATGTTAATACCTTCAAAGTATAAAATAAAGTATTTCCAAAAGTGCATGTGAATTCTGCCTATATCTTTTAAGTTTAACAATACTTGGAACTGGAGTAATTTTCTCCTGAACAAAATGCTGGTCACTGCATGATTTGGGAACTGCTGCCAGCATGCAGAAGCAAAACACAGTGTTACTCTAGTATAGTGGTCATTTACAACATTCTCCTAAGCATCCCCAGACAAACATGCAAACTTGGTTAATTCCAGAAACCTCTCTTGCTGAAATAAACAGGTAACACGCACTAGGTTTCACATGTAATATCAATCTGGGCTAAAGTATTGGAACAGTTGGCAGAAAGCAGACAATAAGAGAGTAGGTGAGCAGAAAGGTGAATTTGGGGATAAAGGGATATAAAGGATCTGTACAACACATTGCTAAGGATTTACAGCTTTAGGCTGGTTTTGGTGGCTCATGCCTGTAATCCCAGTACTTTGAGAGGCTGAGGTGGGAGGATCACTTGAGCCTGGGAGGTCAAAGCTGCAGTGAACATGACTTGTAGCACCGCACTCCAGCCTGGGCAACAGAGTGAGACCTTGTCTCAAAGTAAAATAAAATAAAACTTAGGCAATGGGTAAACTATTGGATGTTATTAAGCAGGGGAGAGAAAAGATCAGAAATTTGTTCTATAAGAATAATTGATGACTATGTAGAAGATGAATTGGAAACAGAGAGACTTAGGTCTGAGACAAGGTAAAAGGCTTTTGCAGGCCAGGGCGTGGTGGCTCACGCTTATAATCCCAGAGCTTTGGGAGGCTGAGGCAGGCAAATTACTTGAGGTCAGGAGTTTGAGACCAGCCTGGCCAACATGGTGAAACCCCATCTGTACTAAAAATACAGAAATTAGCTGGGCATGGTGGCAGGCACCCGTAATCCCAGCTACTCAGGAGGCTGAGGCTCCTAGGAGAATCGCTTGAACCTGGGAGATAGAGGTTGCAGAGAGCTGAGATTGCACCACTGCACTCCAGCCTGGGTGACAGAGTGAGATTCTGTCTTAAAAAAAAATTTTTTTTTAATTAAAAGTAAAAGGCTCTTGCAAAGTCCAAGGATTCCAGAAACATTCCATGGGCAGAAGTGGCCAGACTTAATGCCTCACTGGATGTCTGTTTAGGTGAAGAAGGTGCTGTGGAGAAAGGGGGAAACAGAACTGCGGTTTCTCGGGTTGACAGCTGAGTGAATGGTAAAGCCATAACACAAAACAGGGGCAATGGGAGAGTGAGGGGCAAGTTGCTGGGTATGCGTTAGACATGTGGAGATGAGGCGGATGCAGCCATCCAGGAGGAGGCCAGCAGAGCACCAAGGAAAGCACATGTCTACATAGTTAGCGTGAGGAAGGATATACCCAGAGAGGAATTAAACCATCCAGGGAGTGAGTTGGAAGGGAAAAATGTAAGCTGAGGAGGCAATCCTGGAAAACAAAAAGGGAATGAGCAAATATGCCCATGGTGGGGAGAGGAATAAAAAGTGCTCATTGTAGGGAACAGGATCAGTTGAGCCCAGCAGTTTGGTAAGCAATGACTGTGCCACTGCACTCCAGCCTGGGCCACACAGGAAGACTCAGTGTCTAAAAAAAAAAAAGATTAAAAGGTTCCTCAAAAGTTTCATATGCCCCTGGCTGCTGCCAGGTAAGATTCTATTACAACTTCGTTTCAAGTTCTGTAGAGATTTCTTCAAATGGCCCACAAAGTAAAGGCAGCGATTTTAAAGCCCTGAATGTCCTGATATCTGATGACTTGAGGCTCCCTCTGGCTTCCCTACTCTTGGCAGTGAAATTAGCTGCTCTGTTCTCCATCACCATTCCTGGAAATGAGGACAGGGAGGTTCTGAGAGGACAGGCTTCTCTGTTGCCCTGATTCCCCATAGTGTGTACAAAACAACACTGCAAAGACATAACCCAGCTTGTGGTAAACAAGAACATTTCTCTCCTAAGGCTATGGCTCAGGAACATGGGTGGAGAACTTGGCCTGCCCCTGGTCCTCTACACAACATCTAGAGCTTGGGCCCGATGCAGTATTTTGAGAGTCCCTCAAGAGATTCCTGCATTGATCACTCAAGCAGTGTGTTCACCTTGACTGTGTGTATACCATGGTTAATAATTACCTTTACTAAGGATTCATTTCTCAAACTTCCTGGTCATTTTGTTGCTTCGTATTTCAAAGATGCTAGCAGGAATGGATGGCAAGTACATATGGTCACAGGGTCACAATCCTCAAGGTGTTCTATGGGAATAAACGTTTATAAAAATGTGATGAGTCATTAATAAATAAAAATATGTGTGTTCTAAAAATTAGTAAATAGGCTAGGACTGGTGGTTCATAGCTGTAATCCCAGCATTTTAGGAGGCCAAGGCTGGAGGATTGCTTGAGCTCAGGGGTATGAGACCAGTATGAGCAACATGGTGAGACCCCTCTCTCTACAAACTTAACTGGTGGTGTGGTGGTGTGCGCCTGTTGTCCCAACTCTGTCTCTGAATGTGTGTGCATATGTTCACGTTTGTGTAACAAATGTAATCTGTTTATGGCTGCTCCCCTTTTGCAGCTTCAATGTTTGCTCCATTTTTATCTTTAGGCCAGACTTGAGGCATTAAATTCAAATCCAGACCACTGATGGTTATTATAGATTTTATTGAATGCTTTGAAGAGAAATAAAGAAAGCATTACATCATACCTTGCATTGTAAACTTTCCTTAAAACACCTTAAGCATTTCTCTTTTCCCCCAAAATCGCTCTCCCTTTGGCAACTGACTCATCTCTCCTTTCCTGCCTGTCTACCCAATAGCCATGCCAGCTGGGGCCCCACCTTTATGAACTTATTTATTTGAGATAGGGGCTTGCTCTGCCACCCAGGCCAGAGAGCAGGGGCGTGATCACAAGTCACTTGCTGACTCAACCTCCCAGACTCAAGCAATCCTCCCACCTCTGTCTCCAGAGCAGCTGGAACTACAGGCCCAAGCGATAACCTCTAATGTGACTGTATTTGGGAGCAGGACTTTAGGGAGGTAATTACAGTGAAATAAAGTCATAAAGGTGGTTCGTGCCTATAATCCCAGCACTTTAGGAGGCCGAGGTGAGAGAATGGCTTGAGCCTAGGAATTCATGCCCAGATCAGCCTGGCCAACATTGTGAGACTTTACTTCTCCAAAGAATACAAAAAAATTAGTGGGGTGTGGTAGCACAGGCCTGCAATCACCATGCTTTGGGCAGCCTAGGCAGAAAGATTGCCTGAGGCTAGGATTTTTGAGACCAGCCTGAGAAACAGAAGCAAGACCGCATCTTCTCACACACAAAAAAGGTAAAAAACGAGCTGCTCATGGGGGCATGTGCCTGTAGTCCTACCTATTAGGGAGGATCAATTGAGCCCAGGAGTTTGGTAAGCAATGATTGTGCCACTGCACTCCAGCCTGGGCAACCTCAGTGTCTAAAAAACAAAAATTAAAAGGTTCCTCAAAAGCTTCATTTTACAGTCTTATTTGCTCTAGTATTAAGTTTTTTAAGTCAACTAACAAAAATTTCATTATTGCTATTATTGTAAGTGACCCAACTTCACTAAAACTAGCTTTCTTTGTTATAAATTAATTTGGCTTAGGAGAAAAGTTTGTTCAAGATGAACTATGATAGAGATATTTGTTTGTTTATTTATTTTTCTGAGACAGGGTCTCTGTTACCCAGGCTGGAGTGCAGTGGTGCCATCTCTGCTCACTGCAACTTCCACCTCCCAGGTTCAAGCAATTCTTCCACCTCAGCCTCCCAAGTAGTTGGGACTACAGGAGTGCACCACTACACCTGACTAATTTTTGTATTTTTAGTAGAGACAGGTTTCACCATGTTGGCCAGGCTAGTCTCGACTTCCTGAGCTCAAGTGATCTGCCTGCCTTTGTGATCAGCAGTTTGGCCTCCTAAAGTAAGCCACGGGGCCAGACCTGATAGAGATATTTAATTCAATTTTTGTCAGGCAAATGTAATAGCTGGCATATATAGTCCCACCCCCTTTTTTTCTCCTTCCAACTTTTCTCCCACCCCTTTATTTTTTTTTAAATCTTTTTTTATTTGTTTTTTAGAAACCTCACCTGGAAAATTTCTAAAAACCTAGAATGTCATGTTTATTATCATTTCAGCAAAGTAAATACTTTTTTCAGTGTCTAATTCATACCAAGTGGCAGCAATAGATGCTCTCATTTCTTGTCTTGTCTAAAATTAGCTTTTAATTGTACCCAAGTGTTGTTGTTGCCAAGTGATCCAATTTCTTTCTCTAGGAACACCTTGACGTTGCAGAGGTCTGCAACCATGAAGACATATCATATGGATCTATCATGTTGCTTTGAAAGTTTGATGCTGGGTGCTGTGTCTCATGCTTGTAATCTCAACACTTAGGGAGGCCAAGGCGGGAGAATGGCTTGCGCTTAGGAGTTTAAGACCAGCCTGGGAAATATAGTGAGACCTTGTCTTTACAACAAATTTAAAAATTTTTTTAAAAAGGAAAAAGAGGCCGGGCACAGTGGCTCACGCCTATAATTCCAGCACTTTGGGAGGTCGAGGCGGGTGGATCACGAGGTCAAGAGATCAAGACCATCCTGGTCAACACGGTGAAACCCCATCTCTACTAAAAATACAAAAAATTAGCTGGGCATGGTGGCGCGTGCCTGTAGTCCCAGCTACTCAGGAGGCTGAGACAGGAGAATTGCCTGAACCCAGGAGGCAGAGGTTACGGTGAGCCAAGATTGTGCCATTGCAATCCAGGCTGGGTAACAAGAGCGAAACTCTGTCTCAAAAAAAAAAAAAAAAAAAGGAAAAAGAAAAGAAATCTTGAAAGCCCAGATTTGACCATAGCACTAAATACCAAGGGTTAGTAGAAGACAAAGTTAATTGTAGAACAGTGTGCACTGTTGAATGGAAGTGAACCAAAATTATCTTCAAAGTGTGAATAAAAGCCTAAAATCAAAGTTATTAAACTGGAATGTCCAATGGTTTATATTTACCATTAGAAGAGACCTATACTACATAACTTTAGAGTAATAGAGAAACTATCAAAAGAAATGAACAATGAATGTGCCTGAAGGAAAGAGAGAAAAAAAGAGAGGTGATAAGGAAACAGTATGCAGCTGTGAAATTTATACATTGCTGTAGTCTGGTCTAAATATTTCTATTTTTAAAATTAAGTATGTAATAAAATAATTTAAAAAATTATAATATGCACATTTAGCCCAGGCATTACACATGAAGATGAAGTTTAAGAAAGCAAGCTGGCCAGGGCGCGGTGGCTCAAGCCTGTAATCCCAGCCCTTTGGGAGGCCGAGGCGGGTGGATCACGAGGTCAAGAGATCGAGACCATCCTGGTCAACATGGTGAAACCCCGTCTCTACTAAAAATACAAAAAAATTAGCTGGGCATGGTGGCGCGTGCCTGTAATCCCAGCTACTCAGGAGGTTGAGGCAGGTGAATTGCCTGAAACCAGGAGGCGGAGGTTGCAGTGAGCCGAGATCACGCCATTGCACTCCAGCCTGGGTAACAAGAGCGAAACTCTGTCTCAAAAAAAAAAAAAAGAAAGAAAGCTAAGCTAAATAAATACACAGAAAAGCCAAAATAGCTAATTCATTATGAGCCTCTTTGTCTGCTTTCGATTAACAGCTAAATGATTTTCTTTTCTTTTCTTTTTTGAAATGGAGTTTCACTCTTGTCACCCAGGCTGAAGTGCAAGGGTGCAGTCTCGGCTCACCACAACCTCCACCTCCCAGGTTCAAGTGATTCTCCTGCCTCAGCCTCCCAAGTAGCTGGGACTACAGGCATGCGCCACCACGCCAGCTAATTTTGTATTTTTAGTAGAGATGGGGTTTTTTCATGTTGGTCAGGCTGGTCTCATTACTGACCTCAGGTGATTTGCCTGCCTAAGCCTCCCAAAGTGCTAGGATTACAGGTGTGAGCCACCACGCCTGGCCATGGCTAAATGACTTTCATGCAAGATCATATTAAATCTGAACTTCTACTTTGCATGATAGGATCATCCATTGTTGTTGCTAATCCAAAAGAATTTGATCTTCAAATACCTAAGTTTGTGAAATAAGCAAATCCCCTATATATGAACTCAGATTCCAAAAAAAATTAGCTGGGCATGGTGGTGCGTGCCTGTAATCCCAGCAAATCAGGAGGCTGAGGCAGGAGAATTGCCCGAACCCAGGAGGCGGAGGTTGCGGTGAGCCGAGATCGCGCCATTGCACTCCAGCCTGGGTAACAAGAGTGAAACTCCGTCTCAAAAAAAAAAATAAACAAATAAAGAAGTTTATTAGATAGAGTTTATTCTGAGCAATAAACTCTTCATAATAGAGTTTATTCTAAGGAAATCTGTAAGATTAATTAGGGCATGAAATGTGGAACTTTTACAAATATAAAGGTATATATAGTGTATCTGGTTAGAAATTTAAAAAAAAATTAGCCGGGCGCGGTGGCTCAAGCCTGTAATCCCAGCACTTTGGGAGGCCGAGGTGGGTGGATCACGAGGTCGAGAGATCGAGACCAACCTGGTCAACATGGTGAAACCCCGTCTCTACTAAAAATACAAAAAATTAGCTGGGCATGGTGGTGCGTGCCTGTAATCCCAGCTACTCAGGAGGCTGAGGCAGGAGAATTGCCTGAACCCAGGAGGCGGAGGTTGCGGTGAGCCGAGATCGCGCCATTGCACTCCAGCCTGGGTAACAAGAGCGAAACTCCGTCTCAAAAAAAAAAAAAAAAGAAATTTTAAAAAAGATTTAAGTATCATGAGGATGTATATGTTTGAAAATACTTTGAATATTAACATGTTAGAAATAAATTACACTGAACTAGCAGAGTTAAGTGAACATGACTTAACTCATGTTCTTGGTAAGGATGTACCTTGGTCAGCAAGATACTTGGGAACACAGGTCTAACAAAGAAGATGAGACCTCACAGTTTGACACTGAAGTGGCCATAGACATTTTGGGTTCCAACTAAGGGAAAGTTGAACTGGGCATACATTGGTTTGGGTTTAGTGGATATAATTATGTGTATTGGAGTCACATCTACAACACTCATCTAGCTGTCTAGGAGCAGAAATGGCATCCAGCAATATTCTTATTGCCCACTGTGACAACTTACCTGGCATCCACACAGGTGAATGTTCAGGGCCTAGAGTCATATTGCCATATGACCTTGTCCTACAATGGGCAACACCATAAATATATGGACAGTGAAGGGGAAACAAGGCTTGA